GAGAAGGGCTCGTAGATTTGGACGCTGATGTAGCACAGATCCCGCTTCGGTACGCTACGCGCTATACAGAAAAGGCTGTGTTCATACTTTTCGACTCGGCGTTCTGGGGGAAACAGCGTTTTGAGAAACTTATTCCAAAACGCTATTTCTCCCAGAACGCCGAGTTACAGCCAAAAGTAGAGCATAGGTATCGATTGGCGCCCAAAATATCGATTATCCTGGAACACTCGAATTCTTTCAAATATTCTCATTCTTCCGAGCTGCCGGCGATCGGCGCCCGACCAATACCTTTGCTATTTTTCCGTTCAAAACTTAGTTCGTAAAACGCCGATTCGCTCAACATGCTGATTCTCCCGATTCGCAAAGTATGAACGCAACCTAGTCGTCAGATAACACGTTAATGACGCTTCTGAAGACGTCACCACAATTATACATTACACGTTTCTTCATCACTGATGAGAACATGACACGTGACCCCCTACGCTTACCACGTAACGGAAATACCTGCCATCTACTACATCTATAGGAGCAATCAATTCGTTAGTATTGCTATGCCTCTCGAGGTTTTTAGGTGGAATCTTTATTCAACGGCCTAACGTTTCGACAGGGTCGTCTTCTTCAGAGGCCAGAACTCCACCGTGAATCCGCGTCACATGCGGATGTTAGTCAGTGTTTTGCTACTGACTAACATCCGTATGTGCCGGCAATTTACAGTGGAGTTCTGGTTTCTGAGAAGACGACGCTGTCGAAACGTTGGGCCGTTGAATGAAGAGTGTTTGGCTACTGACTAACATCCGCATGTGACGGCGATTTACGGTGGACTTCTTCCTCTGAAGAAGACGACCCTGTCGAAATGTTAGGCAGCAATACTAACGAATCTATAAGGAACGTTGGAATGTACAGTTGTATGAGTGTTTCCGTTAAAAAAACGTGAGCGGAACTCCACCAACCTCATGTGTGGCATTTGAGCGACGAATACAATTTCTCGTAGATCAAACGACGTCGGTGTATAAGATGATAGGTCTCCAATTACATCACATTGCTAAACATTAAACAGTGAAGAAGGCATGTAAGAATGTGAATAGAACACGAATCACTTCATTCACTTACTCGTGGCCGTATATGGAACCATTTCCCACTTTCTCCTCTGGTTTCATCCTTGCATTTGATCATCTCGTACTCCATGGAAGATGACGGCACAGGTGCTAAATTGCTCATACTTGTGCTTCTGATCCGAGCGAACCGGCCCAACGTAGTCCAGGGTAGAGGGCAGCACTTCCATGCCCTTTCCTACTCCAAGGCTTGGAGCGCGGTCAGATTTTGCGACAGCAGCACTGGCGCTCAGCGGTGGCAACCGGGGTTTCCACAGTTAAGGCTGCGTTTAGACTTCGCGATGACGCGCGTCCACACGCCGCAACTGCAACAGCGTTCTAATCCTATACACGCGAAAGCAGCCGCGGACAGAAATCGATCGTCACCGGCCGCTTGTGTTCTGAGAGGGTAAATGATAACACGAGGGGAGACGCTGCCTTCTCACAATCTCTTATTCCCCCATTCTTCTATACCCTCTAAAGCCTTTGCACCCACCACCCGATAACGGACTGCGTGATTAGGCAACGCACACCCTCCTGTTTCCCATACTCACTCACACACAAGCGGCCGGCGTC